CCCCCCCCCCCCAGAACTCCTGGAAAACCCTATACGAAAACCATGAATTTTCAGGAACATCTCAAATCGTTGTGGTCCCTGAACAACTCTTGTGGGGTTTGCGATGGAGATCAATGCCAAAAGAACAAAAAATGAAACCAAGTTAATATTGATGAAGCTATGGCCGGTCAACTGAAATCGGCGTGACAAGTTCCGTCACTGTAGCTCTATAGTCCACAAAAATGTGGAGACCGTGGTCTCAAAACCCGGCACATACGACGCCGGTGGGAAACAAAACAAAAGAAGGGTACAAACCACTCGGGAAAAGAAACAAAATGATGGAAAGAAAAGAACAGCTACCGCACCGACCGGTCGAGAAAAGAGCCCTCGGAAACCGATCAAAACAAAACAAAGACAGAAACATAGGACGACGCTTTCCATACCCGCCTAAAAAATCAAAGGGTTCAAAGGGTAACATGCCAGCACCAGGCAATACGCACCAGGGCATGGGGATAACGGAGCAAACAGGACAAAGAGGCGGCAGATGGGCAGACAGCCAGATGTATAAAAACAAAAGCAACAGCAAAAGCGAGATCAAGGTACCCAGCAGAGCAGAGCAGGCAGGGAGGACATGAGAAAAAAGAAACACAGCACAGAGGCCGAAGGCAATACGAAGGACATACGTAAAGGAGTATAGCATACAGCAGGTAGGGAAACAGGGCGCAACAACATCAGCCGGGTACATAGTTCGCCACAAGTGCTGCCTCGGCCGCCCTACTCGCTTCTACAGCAGTGCCCGGTCGTCGTTTCTTCCCCCCCACCGCTGCTTCCCCGACTCTCTTTCACTTCGGTCCTGAGATGGCCGTACCCTCTGCTTCTTCTGCTTCCCTCGCGCCCTGGCGCTTTGCGGACGCTTCCGCCTCCTGCCTATGCCATTTCCTCATGAGCCATATCGCCCCGTCCTCGACCTTGTTGTACCACACCTCCGGGTCCTTGGTGCTCTCTTTCCGTTTCCCCCCTTCCTTTTCGTCTCCCATGTTGAAGGCCACGAGGTCCTCTCCTAGACGAGACACTCAGTCGCTCTCCTGCCCGCCCCGGTATCCAACGCCCCCCGCCATCTCTCCTAACAGCATGCACTTGGGGAGGCGGTTGTCCTCAATGCGCATAACGAAGCCCGCGAAACACAGTCTCCGCTTGCGCACGGTGGCCTCGATGGTTTCCTCGCAGCCTGCCTGGATGAGGGCCTGGGCATAGGACAGGGGGCGGTCTGAGCGTTTCCGCTTGCTCCAGCCGATGCACCGTGTGAGGAACTGGCGGTGGGTCCCATTGAGCTTCGTGTAGTGCTCCGCTGTTAGGCTCCACGAGGCGCACCCATACAGGAGAGTCTCCACCACTTCAGCCTGGAGTAGCCGGATCTTGAGCTGGCGGTTGGCCCGTCGCCTGTCGTACATCGAAGCACTGTTCCGGCGGTAGCACTTCCACGCTCGGCAGCTGCGGCTCGTGATCTCCCGGTCGGCCTTCCCGTCCGCGGAGATGGTACGTCCGAGGTACACAAACCGATCTGTCTGCTTGTACGTCTGGCCGGCGGCGCTGACCGTGAACGGGCTTTCCTCGATCCCTTTCGGCAGCATGCATATGAAAGGTGAGTTCTTTTTCTCGCTAAATAAATCCTGGTCTAGACTAAGTTGGAAACGACGCGCTGCAGAGCTCGTTGTTAATAAACTTGATCGACTTAGACTAGTAAGTCGCGAGGGGAGGGATTGCTGTACCCTCCTCGCGATAAAAATATCTCAGGCAGGAACCGTAGGAGGGGGTCGAACCCCCCCCCCTCCATGTGACCCCGGTTGGGTCGTCTAGCTAGTAGAAGTGGAGGATGAGGGCCAGAGGGGCAGACGACAGAGTCCCATGATGGGCGAGAAAAAAAAAAATGTAGCGCGAGTAGGGTTCAACCAGCTTCAAGAAAATGAAGTAGGTGCGTCTCTATAAAACAGTTGCAAGAGACAGCAGCAGTACCGCTGGGTACCAGGTAGCAAATACCGCACACAAGCCCGCTGGACCGAATACCATATATGACACAAGATAACACACCCCCTTGACCGATTTTCGAAGCTCGATTTCTCAACTGCAGGAACAGTCACAGCGCCGAAAACGGCGGCGTTGAAACCGTCTTGTCGAGAGCATTTCGAAAATTTATCATTTCGTTTATGCGTCCTCTTCGTCGTGGAGTAATCGAGCTTTGAAAATGGGTCCAGGGGGTGTGTTATCTTGTGTCATATGCGGCATTACCCCGCTCTAGAAGAAAAGCCAGAATCGACCACGATGCGTTATTAAATATATATCTAGAAAGTAAATCTCACAGAAAGACTACATACGGAAAACGCTCACGCTACAAGCAGTAGTAGCCAGTACCAAACGCCACCATTGCAGACTAGACAGGAGGCTATATTACGGTCATGCAGATTTGTTCCGCGACCGGCTGTGATGTGATAAGAGTTGAGGAGACCCGACGAGAGACGCAAGGTTCAATTGCACACGACGGGTACATGATCATCTGGAGTGGCGCCCGTGCTGGCATCCAAGGACAAGAGGGGCGTACACGGTGTGGGCATAGCGATCAAGGAGGCCATGTGGTAGAGTGTGGGCGAGGAAGGTAGGACGGTGGAGTGCATTAGCCCGAGGCTGATGAAGGTGCGTCTACAAATTGGCCGCACCTGCGGAGTAGCTTTCGTGGTGGGGTACGCCCCCACGGAAACTGTCCGCATCACCGTGGGCCGTGATGTTAAACGCCAAGGGCTCCTTCTGAACTGCTCTCGACGCAGCGATCCGGGAGGTTCACAGCCGTGACCATCTCGTGGTGCTAATGGACGCCAACGCACGTACTGGTAGGAGGCGAGACGGGTGCTGCGATGCCAAGATTATGGGCGCGTACGGACGCGACATTATGAACAACAACGGGGAATGACTCCTTGGATTGGCATCAGACAACCAACTCTCCCTGACCAACACCTACTTCAGGACACCGAGAGGTGGAGTGCAGCACACATTCCAGAGCTCCAACAAGTAACGCCTCAACTTCATCCTCATGCGTCAGACGGACCGGCGTTTCGTGCGTAATGTCTCCGTCAAACATGTCGACTTCAAGGATTCTGACCACAACCTCGTGCTTACGACTGTCCGC